ATTAGAAGTTGCCAATGACTTGCGCCATCTATCGGAATAAATATTAACTAATCATTGATTTTTAAATACACCAGAATTGGCCAAACACAGAAAATTAAATCAACGATTAGTTTATATTCATACCGATAGATGTCGCAAGTCTCTTTTAGTTGCAAGATCAGGAAATGCCCTTTTTCTCAATGTTGAAGTAGAAGATTGAATCAAGAAAAAAGCGATTTAATAAGCAAAGTACTAAAGACAAGATGTTAGCATGGCAATGTAAAAATGTGGGTGTTGGAAAAGACGAGAGACAAAAATTAAATACAAAGACGTCGACTGCAGCGCCGCCGTAGCTGTTGATTGGCCGATCATTCCCTTAATGCTCTATGAATATTTTGGTACAATTCCAAAATTCACTTTTGTATATACTATTTTTATATTAATTTATATAGAGAGAGCTTCTTAAAAGAAACAACAGTAGGTTGAGCTGAAAGTAATGACCCTTTGGCTTCAAGTTAGTTCAAATATACATAGGTTAATTTAATTCTAAAACGCACTGCGTTATTTCTGCTTCACTTATTCAACTATTTCATGTAACACATGGTCATTGAACTCATGCATGCGTTTCACAAACAGATTATCAACAAGAACGAAGACATTAAGACACGAATGTTTCTTTCCACAAATAAATCAAACTTCCACTGTCCTTACTGCGATGAAAAAAATATTGGGAGGTCTTGACACGTGGTGAACGCTCTCAACGGTTTCGCCAATTTTTAATCTACCAGACCGCTTCTTTAGAGCTCCAATAATGTATTGAATCATTCTGCTTTTATATGCTACATTGAAGGGTGGAATCTTAGAAACGATATTTAAGCAGATTATGGGCATAAGCTTTTAGGATAGTAGAATTACATTTAAATATTTGAATTGAGCAATGCTCTTCCGCAAACAAAAAAGACAAGGCCAGTTAGGCATGAATTAATACAAAGCAATAACGCGCCATCTATACATAACAAGTGAAAACATTAAGACGCAATGTTTCTTTTCACAAATAAATTGCAGGTTATAAAAGAAGAATGATTCAATACAGTATTAGTGCTCTAATAAAGCGGTCTGGTAGATTAAATTGGCGAAACCACTGGGAGGGTTCACCACTAATTTTCCAAGCCCTCCCAATATTTTTTAATCGCAGTAAGGACAGTAGAAGTTTGATTTATTTGTGAAAAGAAACATTCACGTCTTAATGTCTTCATTCGTTGTATATAGATGGCGCGTTATTGCTATGTATTAGATTATCAACAGACACTAATCGTCGGTCCGTCGCTCAAACTGTGGATAAGAGATAAATGGGAAGCAAAGAAAATCCTTCAAAAGAAGAATAACCAGGAAAACCCACTTGAATAACGATATAAAAATTTGCGCAGTATATTATATAGATATTTTTTTTATAGTTGCAAATATAATTTTTTATAGTATTCAGGAAATTTTTCAATCTAGCCTTCGGCACATCAAAACAGATTCTAATTTGACACATAGTGAACAAGTTTTTATAAAAGGGCGTAATATTTTTTTTTCTCAAAATATTTAGAGAGATTGCTCCCTCTTTATCAATTTATTGCACAGTAAACTTTATTTACAAATTCTTGTAGATCACAAGAAAACAACTCTGTCATTAGTCAAAAAATAATTAATGATAATAATACATTGAAAATAATAATAATTATTATAATAATATATAAAATATTATGACGAATTAAAGGCTTTTGTAAAACTAGTAATGCATTATTTTATATATTGTTTTTTGAAACAAAATGTAAGGAAATAAAAAATAGAAACAAATGAAATTGACTGCGATTATCAGAATAAAATTAAGTTAAAAGAGACACATAAGGTTCGGGGATTTCTTCATATCCATTTACACTAGCCTTCATTGAGGCTATGGCCTCCAGGAACTTTCTCTGGTGTGAGTTATCCCTGTAGAGAGTGGAAGTATATTCCCAATCTGGCTGATGTCCTAATCGGAGACCATGCTCCATCATGGCAAATCTTTCCTTTGCATATTTCAAGAAGATTTGTCCTCTTGGAGTCTGTTCGCAAGGAAGCGACCTGTCTCTCCAATGTAGGATACATTGCAACTTTTAAAGAGTACGCCTTTTTCTAATAAACTTATTTGATGGATCGCCTTTTGATTCAAACATAGTGAACAATCGCTTCAACTACTTTGTCCTGAGCTTTGTATATATCTCAGAGAACTTATCTTTATTTCTAAAATAAATTAGAATTTTTGATGTTTTCTTCTATAATTTCATAGTTAAATTTCAAATTCAATTTGAACTCAGATAGAGAGAACTAAATAAAATCAGCACATGATTTTACAATTGGTTTATTTTGAAATAAAGATCAATAAAATAATTAGAAAAATTATTCATACGCATAAACTACTCACGGAAAAAGGCATCTCCTGATATGTCAATACCTATTCTTGATTAATCACGTGGTTTGATTTTCTTGATTAATCAAGAATGGGTATTTGGCCAATTCTGGAATAATTAAAAATCAACGAGAATAGTTTATATTTATTCCGATAGATGGCGCAAGCTATCAGCAACTTTCATTTGCACGATAAGGAGATACCTTTTTCATAATACAGAAAAGTGTTGGTTTATAATATTATTTACAAACACATTTTTATATGTGAATGCTGTCTAGATGTTGAAACACCAGAGCATCTTTTGTTGTCTTGCCCTCTGACTAACCAAATTGTACTTGCATACTTTGACATAATGCCATCTTTCTGTATATACTCAATCTTATGAAAACTTTAGCAAGTTTAGAGCTATTTGTACACAGATTTATAAATCACTACTAATTCATCGTGTAAATAATTAAAGATATATATGTAAATAATTCTAATATAGCACAATAGTCTGATAGACTTCGTGCTTCTGTAATTAAAAAAAAAAAAGAAAAAAAACACATTTTTGGAAATTTCTAAATATTAAAAAAATAAGAATTAATTATAATGTATTTAATTTGTAAATATATAAAGATTCGCCGTCAAATTTCATTGATATTTAAACTATCGTTTGTAAATTATTTTCTAGAATATTCTGTGGTTTTTTTTTTTACTCAATTCTCCCGCCATTTTGGCTCGGGAATCATTCAGACGAAAGTCCGATAGTCGCGCTCGAATAAACTTAATAATAATCGGCTGCTAAGCAAAAGAATTCTGGTGCAGACGAAAGCGTGAAGAGGTGCCCAGATGTGTTTAATTCATCCCCACAGCTGAGGCGGGAAATAGGGTAATTTGATTGGTTTAGATTGTTTGGCGACAATTTTACTGAATAATAAGTCCAAAAACCGCCTGACTCTGTTAAATTATTTAATTTATCTTTACAAGTACCTTGTTCATACATTTAAAAAAAACTTTTACACAATTTTTATTTGACTTAAAGGTTTTATTGAGCGTTCTTTTCTTTAATGTATTATTTCTAAAACTTTTATTTTTGTAAAAAAAGTTTTCTTTTGTTTCATAATGCTGAGTAATTTAAATAAATTTAATTTTGGCTCGAGATAATTTTTAAAATGTTTTTTTAGCTTTAAATTTTTCTCAATTTTGGTAAAATTTATATAAAATATTATTGAGCAAAATTGATTTTAGCTATAACATTACATTTAGCCTATAGAATATGTTTTTGCAGAAGATGATATGATAATTTGGGAGATTTTCTATTTCAAATCTTTCGAAAAAGAAAGAAAAGTTAAATTTTTTAATCCTTAATATAGAAAAATTTGTCTCCATTTATTTGCGGTGGAATTCGCTATTGATTTAAAATGAAGCATTCTTTTATTGTATGTCTTTACAACAAAGGAGGGGAGCAGTAACAAGCTCGTTAAAAAACCCTGGTTCAGCTGGCCCGGCTGATAGTACCCTGTAAGGGTCCCACCTAGGGGAAAATCATCTCTAGCACCAGACGAAGACTTCATCTTCTTCTTTCTTATCTCCACTCTCAATCATATTAGGTTATCAAGTTGTGACCCTTGGTGGTGTCTGTTTGACAATCATCATGACTGGGTGAAGTAGTATGCGTCTGCCTTTGTCATTAAGACTGAGAGCACTACTCAGTGGCAGGCCGACTTAGCTCCAAAAGAAACGGCCGCCTCTGACATGAGGAACAGACGTCATGTGCAGCTGCTCCTAACATGGAGTACAAACGCTGCTCATTCTGTATCCCTGGATTAGGAGCACTTACAAGATACTATCAGCCGGGCCAGCTGAACCCAGGTTTTTTAGAGATCTTGTTACTGCTCCCCCTCCTCCTTTTTCATCCAGGCTTGGGACTGGCAAAGGCGAAGACTTCATAATTCTAATGGTGTAAGAGTTGGCAGCGTCTGTTATTTATGTTAGAAGCGGCTTCAGTGACGTCTGTCCTTATGTTAGAGGCGGTCACCCCTTTGGAGATAAATCGGACTGCTACAGGAGATGTGATCCCAATCTATTGTAGATTAACAGTAGACGCATACTGCCCAAAATGAAGTTGGGACAAGAAAAAAAAACTACAAAGAAAATGAAATATTGGAAGAGATTGGCTTATCATTGGCGAACCCTCCCAGCGGTTTCTACAATTTAACCCTCCAGACAGCTTTTAGATCTCTAATACTGTATTGAACGATTTTTTTATTTTTATATGAGGCACTGAATAGTGAAATATTAGTTATGATATTCAATAAAAGTAGCCTAGTAGCCATGGCATCTGCCCGGTAAGTGGAACACTGTGGGTTCGATTCCCATCCCTGAACACTTTATTTTTTCCGTTCATCATTACTCTTCACAATTTATCCTTTCATACTTTATCCCTAAGGTTAGAAATATTTGTTATTTCTCCTTAAAATAAATTTCGATTTTTCGTTCAAAAGAAACACATGCGGGATAATTTTCAAATGTCGTTCTACAATCATAAGCCGCATTATATTGTATTATAAATTACCTTATATAATATTTACGAACGGGAAAATATGTCCAGGATAGCCTAGTGGACATGGCATCTGCCCGGTAAGTGGAGCACTATGGGTTCGATTCCCATCCGTGGACACTTTATTTTTCCGTTTATCATTACTCTTCACAATTCATCCTTTCATACTTCATCCCCAAGGTTAGAAATAATCGTTATTTCTCCTTAAAATAAATTTCGATTTTTCGTTCAAAAAAAGAAACACATGCGGAATAATTTTCAAATATCGTTTTACAATCATAAGCCGCATTATATTGTATTATAAATTACTTTATATAATATTTACGAACGGACAAATATGTCCAGGGTAGCCTAGTGGTAATGGCATCTGCTCGGTATGCGGAACACTATGGGTTCGATTCCCATCCGTGGACACTTTATTTTTCCGTTTATCATTACTCTTCACAATTCATCCTATCATACTTTATCCCTAAGGTTAGAAATAATCGTTATTTCTCCTTAAAATAAATTTCGATTTTTCGTTCAAAAGAAACATATGCGGGATAATTTTCAAATGTCATTCTACAAAACTATAGATATAATATTTTAGGACAGAAATATTACATATAAATATTTGCATCGAGTATTGTTCTTCCGCAAACAATAAGAACACATCGTAAAGATAGACCTAGCCGGCATTGATATTTCTATGAAAAATAGACACTTCGGCCAGTTAAAGTTTTTTATTATTATTATTATTATTTATTTTATTTACCTCTCCTGACGAAGACAAACGATTTTTGTCGAAACGTTGAGAAAATTAAAAAACTCTAACTGGCCGAAGTGTCTATTTTTCATAGAAATAAGAATACAGTTATGGATGAAATGGATATGCGTCAATAATACGCCATCTATACATAATAAATTTAACCATTAGAACGAATGTCTCTTTTTTTTTAATAAAACAAAATTATAATGTTCGTATTGCGATTGAAAATATTGGGGGAGGGGGAATGACAGCGATTGGAAAATAAATATTTTCGTATGACATCCTTCCTTGTCGGAACTCAGGCGTTCCTTACGTCGCTTTCTTCTTTCATACACAGACGATAAGGAGCAGTAACAATCTCACTAAAAAACCTGGGCTCAGCTGGCCCGGCTGATAGTACCCTGTAAGGGCTCCAGGGATACCGGATGAGCAGCGTTTGTACTCCATGTTAGGAGCGGCTGCACATGGCGTCTGTTCCTCATGTCAGAGGCGGCCATTTATTTTAGAGCTAAGTCGGCCTGCCACTGAGTAGTGCCTAATGACAAAGGCAGACACATTCTACTTCATACAATCATGATGGCTGTCAACAGATACCATCAAAAAGCTTTACAAGCTTGACACCCTAATATGATTGAGTGGAGATAAGAAATAAAAAGAAGAAGATACACAGACGACGATGCTAACATTATTCCGGGGCTAAGCTCGTCTGATGCCATCGCTGATTTCGTCATCACAGTGAGCCATTGGTGTGTGGAGAAAGTGACCAGATATTTTCCACTTCTACAGCGGTCAGATCGTTTTATCCATTGTAAATTTTGCAAACAGCCGTGTCTCAGGTTGGGACGAGTTACTTTGCGAAATCGCCCAAGCCTTTGAATATATTTTTCTTCAAAGTTCTTTGGCAAGTCATTTGGGATCTTTTTGCTCCGCGATGCCTTGTCTTTATCTTCGAGACACAGTAAGGCCACCCTGCTGCCAAAGTCACACTGTGCTCCGGGTCTACACGCACTACGTCAAATCAGCCTTCCAACGATCGACAACAGGATCTTCAGCGGCGTTCTTATGGGCCATCTACGTCATAAACTACTATATCTCGTGCTCGTATGTCATACGTGCTCTGTTCCAGAGCGACCATTTTCATAGAACATTGCGCGAATGTCTGACGAAGTCTCTTCGGCATCGAGATATGACACGCCGCTGGCTGTCATCTCCACAGACCTGATGTTGGCGTCCGACAGCTTGAACATGAAGTACCTGATCGCTCTGTTGGAGAAAAATGGGCCTGTAATCTTTCTTCCTCGGGTATGTTGCTGCTATCTACGGAGAAGCAGACGTCGCCACCCGTGTCGGAGATGTCAACACAAATGCCTTTCCGCTTCTCAAAGGATTGTGGGAGCTCTTCAGCCTAAGGGTTATCGTTATCAGCATCGATATCGCTTTCTTTCTGTACCGCCTCGAGAGGATCCTGGGTCGCCGATTCTTAGTCGCCTACATGGATGACAACATTCTCTTCATCGTGGATGATTCTAAGTTTTAGATAGTGAACTCGATCTTTAAAGAATTCCGTATGCCCTCTGAGGTGGTTGCCAACTCAACAAGAACTGTCACTATTAATGTGCTTCCTGGTATATCACCGGACTGATGGGACTCTGGGAATCTTTTGAACGCCCGAGAGGTGACTGTCCTGGACTGAATGAACCTTTCCAGGAACATCGTCGCCTCCCAACTCTTCCACGTTATAGTCATCGAGAGAAAGCAATCGCGAGATAATCTCGCTTAACCTGCGTCCTGTCGTTAGTGGGTTGAGCCCGCGCAGCAAACAGCCTGTTCCTGGCATTCATCCTGCGCCATCTCCACGGCTACGTCCCACATTAGGTTACCATTGGCAGTATTTAGGCGCGGCTGAAGCGTTTCGTGTGAAATCGAGCCGAGTTCCGTGACTACCTGAAGACGTATTAGTTCCGCCAAGCTTTGATGGTATCGTCGGCCTGATGAAATCGCGGTCCAGCTCCGGCTTTCCTGCCTGAAAGCGATACCAGCCTCACTATGAAGTGTGCCAACAGCCAATTTTCCTAAGCCTTTGAAGATTTTTTCGCCAAAGTTCTTTGGCAAGTCATTGGGAGCCTTTTGGCTCCGCGATGCCTTGCCTTTCTCTTCAAGTTACTGTAAGGCCACCCTGTTGCCAAAGTCACACTGTGCACTCGCAGCTAAACGCTGGCTGACACCGATGGCTCCTGATGTCTGGCACACTCGGAAAAAGAAGGAAACTGCTGAGGCTATGAGAGGGCGCGTCTAGCTTCTTTGAGCTAGACCATCGTATTCTCCACTTCGCTAGCCTGAGGGCTCTGCTTCTTCGAGGTGACAACATTATCCTGAAACCGCCAGACCGTACTGTATTCCTAGACGCTAGACATATGAGTGTCGTTTGTCAGAGCCTACTGTAGGAGAACACCAGCTCCACTATCGGACAGATGGCGTAGGCGATCGTCCTGCCGTTATTAATGACCCTCCTTACTCATATCACCGGTCAGAGCGTGGCCCAGACACTGAACTCGTTATAACTGCAAGTAGATCCTATCAGAGATCTAGTGGCCCAGTGGAATCCCAACGTTGATATGCCCCACTCCATCCTCTGAGCCGACCTGCATCGCAACTGTTTCTCGGGGTACGTTACATCATCGCCTTATAGCTGGTCCTTTATTCCCTTCCCATCCTGACCAATCTGCCTCGAGGCGTTCCACCTGTAAGCCCAGAGATAAGTCCCTGACACATAGATATTGGAGTTGCCGAGTCATTCTGCTTATGCTCCGGGAGTTGTTTCTCTTGTGGGAGATGCTCCTGGATCTGGCTCTTCGGCGTGGCCTCCAACCCAGTGAAGTCTCCCATCTACAAGTGCAATATATATCTACAAGTGCAATGAGATAGGCAATGCCAGCTACCTCATCGACCTGCCCACTCTTTGAAACTCTCGCTTCGCCATTGGCGAGGTCTTGCTCACGGTGGAAGCTGTCAATGAAGACATTTGTGTGTGGACAAGTCTACTCTCGTTATAACGCCACCATTCGGATTTTGCAATAAAGCGGCGTAAGGCGAGGGCGGCGTTTTATCGAGTGGCGTTATAACGAGAGTAGACTGTATATATAAATCATATATGACTATAATAACCAAATATAGTCTACTTGATATAACTTATTTTATGTATATTTATATTCTTATCAGTAATCTTGGAACCCAATGCCTGCAGGAATGGAAATATAATGCGGCATATATGACTGGTACAGAGCAGGAGGGACAAGCACCAGTTCTGTCTTCCCAAGAGAACAACAGTCGTTGATTTTCAGACTTAAGTCTAGTCATCTACAGACAATGACTTTCCAGAATGGTTGCAAGGTTTCCCCAATATATACTAAGTGTCAACCTGCAACCCCAAAACATATTATTGACTGTATTGACTCATCCATTGATGAGCTCTACTCTTCCCCGGCAGACACCATCAACAAGCTTTACAAGCTTTCTACCTTAATATGATTGAGTGGAGATAAGAAAGAAGAAGAAGAGTAATCTCGGTAATTTATCTAACCACACATCTATAAAAATCTTAATGAGCTATGTAAACTATCAGTGTTAACCTTAAACTACCAAAAGAAACTATAAGCGCGCTTTAAAATAAGATTGTTTTGTAAAGAAAAATTGAATATGCGTTTTAAATACAAGATTAGATTGCTATATAGAAACCTAACTAAAACGACATTTGAAACATAAAAGAAATTATGAATAGTTCCTATTTTCAAATATGTATCGAGAAACAAATATGTGAAAAAAGTGTATAGCATAAGGAAAAATTATATTTTAATCTCAAACATAAAACACGCTTTTTCCATATGGGTCAAAATAATAATAAAAAAGAGTGAAGTCTATTGTAACTGCATCTAGAAACAAAATTTTAATAAAATAGACGTGAGGGGGGGGGGGGGTGTGCAATAAAAGTTGTCGATTGGTAAAAAAGTCTATTTAGCATGTGTCCGCTCTCTAATTAAGAAAACATCGCCCGGGCCAAGTACCCTAATAACGGCGCTTCTTTCACTCGCTTTTTTATTCTTTCTTTGCGCCTCGAGCACTAGGTCTTTATTAAAGAGACTACGAGGCAATAATGGCTCTAATATTGTAGGCAAACTTGGCGATTGACAGCTGTTTGCTGGCAGTTTTTGCGACAAATGACTGGAGGCTTTGCCAATTTTGACTTTCTACAGACCTACAACTCTGCTTTAGAAGCCTCTAGCCATTCATTATAAAGAAATTTCTCTAAAAATCTAAATATCTCCAAGTATTTCACCAGAGGTTATACCCCTTATTAAGCAATAGCAAATGCAAAACATTACAAAAACCAAAAATGAAGTCAACATCATTATTGTTTGGGGGAAGACAATAAGAAGAAGCTGTTCCAATGAAGGTAGTTGTTTGACGTTTATATCGTGTTCTGTTACTTGATCCCGAATTAACGTTATATACGGGAAATCAAAGAAGACAATTTGGAACAAGTACCTGGAAATTATACAAAATATCCAAAAGCATTATAAAAAAAGAGATTTTTCTTCAAGGTAGGAGGATGGTTTTCTAAATTGTGGACATTCATACCTAGGTTATACCCCTTTTAAGCAATATCAA